AAGCGCCGCCCACTTCCTAAGCCCCCCCCCCCATGCCGCCGCCGCTACTGCTGCTCCTCATTGGGTGTCTTGTTAGGTTTTAAAGGCTTTTGTTTCACAGAAAGGTGGCCTGGCTGGCACCATCTCAATAAACGTGCAAATAAACGCCATCCATGCTTAATGATTCCCCCCAAAAGAATATAATGAACCCAGATGCATGCTGAAAGTCTCCTGCCGATCAGATTGCAGCCTTGGCATCCAACCCAGATCGACTTGGGAGGAAGGCCTGCCTAGACTAGCCACGTCTGTGCTCAGTGTGTTCAGCCACGTCTGTGTTCAGGCTTACTTCCTTTAGGGACAGCAGAGCAGATACACCACTCTAGTCTCCACATGCTTGGAGGGGGCTCCTTTATTCCTCAGGAGGTTGCAGACTTCAGCCAGCAAGTGGCTTCCACCCGTCCTTTCCTTTTCCTGTAGCAATCCTCAGGCACGCAATGAAATCAAGGTGGTACTTCTGAGCTGCAGTGGCTCAAGTGGTTAAGACGCTAAACTGCAGGCTGTGGAAGGTCGGTAGTTCAGCAGTTTGAGACCCGAGTGTGCCACATGATGGAGTGAGCTCCCATCTCTAGTTCCAGCTCCTGTCAATGATGTGTACACACTTTCAGTGCACTTTGCAACTGGATTTTACTGTGTGAAATGGCAAAATCCACCTGCAAACAGTCACTGTGGTGGATTGAAACTGCATTATTTAGCATGTGTGAAAGTGCCCATGTCTCCGAAAAACACACTGCGTCTATGCATAAGAGACTGAAAAAGGTGTGCATGTGCGCATGTGCATGTGGACAATGATGCATGTTTTTCCCATTTCCTTAGCGGGAGAGAGAACAGAGACAGGAGCATCTTCAGCCCCCCATGTAGGGTTCCCAGGTGCCTTCCTCCTGCCAGCGGTGGGGCGGGACTGGGGGGGTGTGCCACCGGGAGGCACGGGCAACTGATGTCACTCCCAGAAGTGATGTCATCAAGCGATGTTGGGGTGATGCTCTACTTCTGGGTAAACCCTATGGTAAAAATGGCCACAGCCCACACGGTTTTGCCCCAAAAATAGAACCTTGCTCCCCGTGTCGCTGACATGATGACGTCACTTCCAGAAATGATGTCAGTGGGTTGGTGACATCACATGGGGGCATCTGTTTGGGGTGGGGTGGGGTATTCCCACCGGTCCGCTGGCCAGCAGCAGACCGGAGCTTGCAAAAGTGGGGGATCCCTCACCCCCCCCGGGGAGGCCATGCAAGCTCCCGTCTCCTTTCCATCGTGTCCTTTTGAATTCCCATCAGACAGAGGCGTGTGAAGGTTCTCCAGCCCCTGGAGGGTGGAATGGGGGGCAGGACTGGAAGGGCTCCAACACTGGCCCCCATGAGGAAGGCACCTCTTGGCTCACCCCAGGGATAGTGAGATATTGCAAAAAATGGTATTTAGCAGAGATAAGATAGCCCAGCAGAGCCAGAGTAAGATAATTCAGACTCAGAGTCCATGTGTGATTAAAATATAAAGTTTTACTAAATTCTAGCACGGGGAAGGGTAACTGGGATGAAAATAACAACAGAGCAAAATCGGCTACATCCTTACTCTACAAAGACAGAACTAGAAGAGAGAGATTTTGGCTGCTCTCCTTCTTCTTCAGAACACCAAACAAAGACAGGAAGAGGAGCCATAAAATGCTAATACACCTTGACACTTTAGTCCCAATCAAACTCCTAGATCAGGGAGAAAATTCCCGGGCTTCCTACATCTAAAGAACATTGGTTACATGAGACACATGTGACTTCCTGTGAGTAACATAAACAAACATTTCACCCCAGATATACTGAGTGTTTTCAACTTGTAATACCCAACAGGGAGACCAGATGTCAACTCTGACAGCATTGATTTTGCTGTTGGCATCCCATCAGCAGCCGGTGACATGTGCCTTGCG